GTGTGAGTTGCTGAGCAAGAAAAGAGCCAACTAGCATATGACAGGTCTCGAACGAAAAAGCATTCGGAAGTTAGAAATTACTTCGGAAATATCCATGATCATAATGCGACTTGACAGTACATTGACTGCTCATAAACAAGACTCACTGTGACTTCACGAAGTTCTTGGAGAGGGTCGCACTTGAAGCTTCCATCATTCAGACCAAAAAAATGTAATTAATTCGGACCGTGGGCAAGAAATGTCAACAACAATGATTAGCCTACACATAATACTGCAGTATCAAAGCCATTCTGAGTCGATGCGGCCGAACCAAAAGCCATTTCGCTACTTCCTTTCAACCATGACGAATGAGAGAAGTCACTCCAGTCGGCGATTTTGACCGGGGCTGGTATACATGCATCAGAGACTGCTGACTCCCTGTAATAAAAGTGTAGAAAGCCCTGAATTTTATTACCTTGCCTGCTGAGGGCTGGAAACTCTTGCCGCATCAAGAGAAGTTTTTTGCGTATGAATATTTTGAGTAAAAATTGCTGATCATGGCGCCAATGTAAATTTTATGATTTTTGCTGCTGCAACATTAAAGCCTGTTTTAATTTCGATTGTTCATAATGTCATTGACCTACCTCTCATTTGATGCGCGATCACAATCCGCGGTTATGGAGAATCTTAGAGTAGCAAACGCAATTTACTTGATCACTGGATTGCAGCACTTTCATATTATACATGGGACATAAGAACAAACGGAACACCTTCATTGCAAACATCCTTCAACTTAAACGCGGCACTTATGCGCTAATCCCTACTTGAACTACTTTTCAAACTGGTAGCGTAGAGATGCAAAACCTTAAGGAGGGCATGCGCAAACCAAGAAAATAGAAGTCCAGAGAGTTTACTCTATCTTGACGGATCTTCTAAGGTTCGTCAAATTTTGTTATTAATTCGAAATGATATCAGCAGGCTGTTAACATTTCAAATGAACGACGAAATGGTTAAAACCCGAAGAGTGTTCATGTTAAAGAAGCACAGCTCTTAGGATTTGCAACAGTGTTCTTCATTCAGCGTAAGGAAACTCTGTAGTGCTCTTAAGAAGAAACACTTTTCAGTTTCCGTAAGCGCCAAGTTAACTCATATTGACTGAAAATATTGAAAACTGATATTTATTGATAACTGACAATTCTTAAGACGTTTATTTACCTATGATATTTAAAGGCTTCAGTTATCATATCCTTTTCAGTGATCAAAAATAGTGTTTACTGAGAGCTTCGCAACTGGTCTTTACATCTTTTCTATGATGGCTTTTTCCCGCATTTTTGTGGCTTCACTATTTAAACTGAAGGATTAATCATTTATATTTAATTAAACGATGAAGGACTGTAGATCTGATGTCTGTCATGCTGGTTTGTTTTGCATATACGCATTGCGTTTGCAAAACTGTTTTAGCATCTGCTTAAAAAGTTGCACTTGCTAATATTCATTTATCACATGGAACTTGCAACATGATTGTGGCAATGGATATAGGGATCAACGTTGCCGCAGCGAAGGTAATGTAATTACTCATTACGACTGACCCTTGTAGAATATCGTGCAACGGTAGGACGTTGAACGCATTCGATAGTCTGTCTTTCAAGCAATGAAATGCGGGCAGAGATCAAAGTGTCAGAGCGCACTAGAATTGAGTTTGTATGCCTCAGCTGCTGCGGAACCGAAAGGAAACCAGAACCTGCTACTCAAGATGTTCGACTAATGCCACGAGCGTCCGAAACTGACAAATCTCTTTTGCTATCCAATCGGTAGAGCTTCGGCTTAACAGTCAGAGAATGACCTGTTGGAAAGCCTGGTCGATAAACTCGTTTTTCCTATCGCTAGTTGAAAAATGAGTACTACACTATGAGAGGGAAGCAGCAGTGGCCATCCCAGATATTATCTTCGATAAAAGCGACACTCTTGGCCCATGGTATCGTTGGGAGACATCGATTCTGGGCCGTAAGCTACGTGTAAATTAATGCTCATGTATCGTTATCATAGAAGTTAACGTTAGAAAGAAATTTTTCTATTGCCTAACTTACCTCTTGCTGTCATATAACTTGTAGTGCAATGTTGATTTTTGTTCCAAAGCTTTATCCATATGGACTTTACCTTTAAAGAAAATACCCTCAACTATGTAACTCAGCCATAATATGCAGTCTTCTGTTTCCTTCGAACAGTGCAGAACTCGTTCAACTTGCTTGGAGTGATCACCAGAACAGATAGTGGCCCAGACTAGACACGAACCCACGATCGTTTCCTTCCGTGTCCTGTGCTTTACTGCCTGAGTCACAATGGTCTCAGCTACGTTGCTCGCTTTGAACATGGAAACTTGCAGATTCACCGGTAGTTTTGAAGAAAATTATTCAGATTAGTCAATAACTTAGGCCAGAATCGAAAAGTTTTTAATTTATGTTAGCGGAAGGCTTAAAGGCCACTAAATCTCGTTCAATACATGATTGACATTATACTCTTGCTGCGATCTTATATGCGACACGTCAGTGGCTATCATTGTCCTCGCTTTCATAATTAATTCCTTTGCATCTTTAACACGTTTTGTAATTTATGGACACAGAGAGTAATCATTGAGTTTGCATGGGTAATTTTTTTGTAGCGTCATGCATGCAGCCTTCGCCAGAGGTAAGGAGTAGATTGGATTAAAGACTTTCCTGCGCTTTATCAAACCCAGGTAGCTTTTATGACAATCCATAATTTCTTTGCTCGGTCATCGTTGTCTAAGTTTGACAGAACTTACGCAGCAGGAAATGTAAGAATCGTTATGACCCACCTTCAGGAATACTATTTCAGATGGAGAGCGAGCAACTTGAGTGCTGCAGAAAAAATGGTGTTCCTCTACGCAAGCAATTTTGCCTTCCGAAGATGCTTCCCTGCTTTAGATTGTCCTCCAGTGAGACAAAAGTTTCATAAACAAATATATTCTTTGTTTGGATCATCCATAAGTGCATCGAGTTTTCTCAGATGGCTGATCGTCAGCGTCTGCCCGTTCGTTAACCTGGTAGTACAACGGTGCTTTGAATAAACTTCAGGAGAGTTTTCGGAAATGTTAGAGCCATATATGAGTCCAGACTGTACATACGCTGCTTTCGGGGTGATGATTTTAGCATTGATTATGCGTGTTTGCTCCTTCCATTTATTATGCAGCTAGTCAATTTATAGTATGGCACTGAAACATGTAAATTAAGCTAATAATTTGTTTAGTCATTCAATGCTATGCTGTCCCTGCATGTACTGTAGAGCGACGCCCTTGACCGCAATGAAGAGCTCATTTTATGGACTCCAAAATAGCAGCTCTTGTCAGGAGAAAGGTGAATAAGAGTAACCTTTTAAGAAGTTAATAAGTAAGAACACTGGTTCAACTTTCTACAAATCAGTGGCTTGTCCGATATGACAATGACAAGAGGAGCTTAAGTCGTCTAAAGGCTCCAGAAGAGTAAAATAATTTCACCTTCGTAATAAATATCTTAATAAAATTATGCTGTTCTTCGAAATTTGCATTATCTACATAATGGATCATCTAATTAACATGAAACTTTTCCTCTACCTAAGAAACGCGTACCTCAAAAGAAAGCAAGTATTCCTTCTGCCCATAAAACAAACCCGTTGCTGCAAGTTTGTTTTGATACAAAAAGCACATGAGGCAAATCAGGGTGTGATGCCGTGAACTGTTGTTACTGTTCACGTTAGGTTTCGAGTCCAAGTATCATGCTGATGCGGAATCTAAAGTTTTATTTTCATTAGCATAAAATCAACCTACTGTACTTCAATACGACCGACAAATGGGTAACAAGCGTTGTCTGTGAAAAACAGCGTCAGCACTGTGATTTGGCATGGGTTGGTCAGATTCATGTACATTCTCTAATGCTTTTGCCCTGAAATTGTAATGAGTCTTCTCCCACGCGACAGCTGACTCTTTATCAGTGCAAGATATAACCTTTAAAAAATATGACTGAAAACCTTTCTTAACCACATAATAATAAAATGGCTTTGGTGGTTTAATCGGCACGTGACAAGAAAGGCATCTTGAACGAAGACGTCGTTTCTAGTCGCCCAGCAGCAGTTTTATCCAGAATAAGAACTTTAGACCCTCACAGCAAGTTTCCTATTGAAACGGCTTTTGTGTAACGTATACAAAATAATGGTTTATTTTTCAGGAATGAGTAAATATTCATATAACTCCAGGCGAATCACGTATCATAGCGCGACGATGTCACCATTTGTTTCCTATGCCTGATGGAATTTACAGTTTGGCTTCCGTTTCATGGCATCATTCGGCAGATAAAAACTTCTCATGTCATTTTATTTACTACAACAGTGTCTAGCTGCAAATGGAGACGAATCGTGAGGCCGTGAAACCCAGTTTTCAGTTGCGCTTGTATGGCATATTTTTATGTGGTTAGTAAACGTAAACACAACAAGTGACGTAATTCGAAGAAATGAATTTTAATTTGACTGCTGGCCCAATGGCTATTGCCACGACCAGCAGCATGACTGGTGTGCTTAATCAACATTGCCTGAACTTTTAACGTATCTCGTTGCATATTTATAGTTGACAATCAGATCAGTTTCATGCTGATTAAATCAGCACTTGATCTATTAGGAGGCAGACGAGTCAGAGAGAGAGAGAGAGTATGAGATACTTTCCTGCAACGGTTGCTTCTCAAGGTCGAGCATGTCGAGAGCCCGACGGTTGAGCCATTTTCCCGGCGATGGCCGAACTGTTCAAAGATCGAGGATGTTCGACGCGTCTATGTACGTTATACTGTCGTTATCGACGTCGAAGCATTTGTTGATCGGTCCTTCGAGCAACTCGTCAACGTCGTCCTCACAAGTGCCATACTCCATTTTGTCGATGGTGTTGTTGACTATGTGGTCGAGCCGTTCGAGCAGAGTCTCGTGGTACTCCTTCGGCAGCTTCAGGTAGTGGCATATGGCCTGCATGAGTTGGCCGACGGTGACGCGCTTGCCTCCAAACCAGATGACGGTGTTAGCACAGTTTTTGATGCGCGAGCCCCAGTAATGCAGCTTCCTCAGGTTCAGCGCCAGCAGGTCGACCAAGATCGTCGACAACGTCAGTCCGAAACTGATGTATATTAAAGTCAGCGGGAAAAAAAGGTCGTCATTCGGTGTCAGGTCGCCAAAGCCGACTGTCGACGAGCTAATGAATGTGAAGTAGACGGCGTCCAGGAACGACCAGTTGGCGTCCAGCGCCGAGAACAGAAGGCCACCGACCAGAATATAGGCGTTGAACAGAATCACTATCAGAAAGCCGGGCACCGAGTCGTTGTCGTCCCGGTCGACCGACGACTTCTTGTCATTGCGCCTTCGCAGGCGCCACCTGCAGAACTGAAACGCGTGCGTGAGGGCTGATGCCAAGAACTTTCCCTGGTCGGCGATTGCTAGCAGAGCCAATGGGATGCCGAGCATCGTGTAGACGATACAGAACAGTCGACCGGGCGTAGTGACCGGTACTACGGTGCCGTAGCCGATGGACGTGATGCTGGTGAACGCCAGCATGATGCCAGCCGTGTAGGACATGGGCCTCCGGCGGTCGGCGGACACCGCGTGCTGCACCTCGGACACGCAGTACTGTTCGACGCACGACAGTACCGGCGTCATGTCGACGTCCACCTTGCGCACC